CTTACCCAGCTCATTATGTTAGTAGGCATAGTCCAAGTAGTACTGTTTACTACTTGGACTATACCTACCTACAGATAGACAATGTATAGTAACTACGGGAAAGATTACCATCTGCTGAAGAGACAAAGATGGGTATTATTTTATACACACATATTTTAAAGCATCTGGAATTTTAACTGCAATTGATTTTAAACCGCTTGCAGACACGTCACATATTAATAACCTTGAATATGCTCAAATGCCAAACCTTTTTTTTTATTTTTTAGGCAATTAAAGTTTTTTTTATGGTAGAGGTGGCAAACGAGCAGACGTGTCACCTGATTGAGAAAGTGACTACCGTCGCCATTGAACACCTGCAAATCAAGGTTCACAAACGCGTCACTGGAATTTTAGGAAGGCGTACGCTCTTTTCTTGAACGTCGTATGGGTCTGGAAATACCGCAGACGATAACTTGTTCTACAGATTGGTTGTGCGAGGCTAAAAGTGTATCGAAAAGTGGTGGAGCGCAAATTATCCAAATGGTGTGGATGAAAATTTAGCCGAGTGTAACGATGGCCGAAAGATGCGACCGGTATTAGTCCGAACAATCCCTCTTTGCTTATCGTCTTTTATGGTATTGGGGGCGAAATAGCAGACGGCTTAGCTAGCTTAGCATGGCTCTCCCACTATAACCTGCTTCTCCGTCACGTTGTGGTATTAAAATAAATTATGTATTAATGATTATTGGATTATACACCTGAGTATTGATAAAAACATTAATATTCTATGCCAACGAGCGAATAATAACGTATTCTAGCCAGAACATAAAAATATTTTACAGATAGATATTACGATTCGTAAAGAAATGTCTTTGGCTGGACCTCATTCTTGATAACAAAATGTAACAAAATGTCTCTTTCGTAGAGACAGAAATTTATCTCGGCCTTTTCCTCTTTCAGCTTAACACTGGTTTTCTGTGAGCCGTGATATGACTCCGGTCGAGCCGGGCCCATGTGTGTTGAAGTATGTAGCAGCACCTCTAGCAGCAAAGATAAGAAGTGTTCATTAGATGTTATATGTACAGCTCTTTTCCTCATAAGAAAACATGAATGGCACCATCTCTTTCACTCACAACAATCAATTACCTATCGACAATCTCACGGATTATGTTCCTATTATCTAATGATTTACATCAATAATCATTTCAGCGCCTTATTAACCAAATCTCTTTCACCTGTGCGATATATTTAGTTGTAAAGAGATTATGCGGGATTCTGATATGCTATTTAATGTTTATGATCATGTATTGAAAAACACGTGTCAAGTTCGGCCTGACTATCGGATAATACGGACTTCACGGATGGCGTAGTGGTTTAAGCGGTCGCCACGACGCTCACTACTACGCTGAGTGCTGTGGGTCCGATCCCCCCATGGAACGACACTTTGTGTGATCCACAAATTGTTGTTCTGAGTCTGGGTGTTCTTTGTGTCCGTTTCATGTATGTTTGTAAAGTCCCCCGCGACACAGGATATATTCCTAATGCGGGAGTTGTCTTTTAAATAAAAAAAGGACTAAACAGAATGGTAGAATGCCCTATTTATCTGAAGGTTAGTGGTCTTAACTGCTGAAGAAAATTGATTTCCACAAAGGACAAGTACTTGTGTGAAAAGCACGATCATTATTTCTATATTTCGATGTAATTTATCTACACTATGAATGTATTTAAAATTATGCTAGTATAAATATTTATACAGCTATTCAAATATCTATACTTATGTTATAAATGTGAAAGTTTGGTTGGATAGCTGCAATAGCGCCAAAACGTCTAAACATATTCGGATGAAATTTTGATACAGAGATAGATCTCATTGATCTAGATAGTCAAGAATAGGAAAAGTATTGATGGAAAAAGCCACCGGCTAAATCTAGTGTAAAATGATAGAAACTAAAAGATTCATAAATATATTTAAATCATTGAAAATAAAAAATATCCAACTAATAATTACACAAGGGGCAGAGCACACTAAATAGGTAAATAAAAATGCGATAAATTAATGGGATTTGTCGAACACGACAATTTAATTGCTTGTATTAATTAAATCCTGATAACTTTTGACAACACAAAATGCATGAAATACACGTAGATACACATTTATCACAGTAAATCCGTTTTATCAGTTTAATGTACTTTTTATTGTTCTTTTGTTTAAATTAGTTCGAATGTAGTTTTAGTCGATTCGAGTCCTGCATACAACTTCACCGTGAGTCCGGTTGAGATGATTACCCCGTGGAGGTTTCCACACGATAGTATATAATATCATCATATCACATCACGTCACGTCTTTGATAGTGCAATGCTGGACATAAAACTGTCCTTAGAAAGGACGTTTTGGCCTACGATAATTTAATATATATTTATATAAATATATTACATCTTTAGTGATATCAGTATCCTAATAAGTAAGGAATAGTATTTGTTATTGGTGGACACTTCAGGATTACTCAACTTATATGGTAAACAGAAACGGACTGTAATACTACTGACATGCATAATGACAATTAAATTATTAATTAATACGGCATTTAATACGATCATTATATACCTTTGAATAGCCTGACATTTTTTGCACTAACCGTGGTCAAAAGCTGACCACAGCCAGTGCAGCTATTGAAAACGTAAATATCTGTAAAACGCAAAAGTTAACAAGAAAAATCCTTTTAAGAAAAAGTTTAACTCACTTCAAATAATAATAACAACAAGGAGCACTAAAAACCAAGCAGTAATAGCGGTTGATTTACTGTCATTTTTAGATGATTTCCGTTGTCTGTCTTCGAAACTTACCATCAGATCTATATCAAATTAACATGGGACCACTTCGTAATAAACCGGAAAAAAAAACATAAGAAACCGACTTTACAAACATACTTGAAATGGACACAAAGAACACCCAGACTCAGAACAACAATTTGGGGACCACACAAAGTGTCGTCCCATCACAACACTCAGTGTAGTGGTAAGTGGCGTGGCGACCGCCTTTACCACTACGCCATCCATGACGTCGGTTAAAAATTTAGTAAATGGGAATGTATAGGCACTGGCCGCACTTTGAGTCAGTGCGTGTGAGTTGTTTTCGGTAACCTTGTCTCAGTGAAAAGTATCGCGGAAAATGCTTAACACTGATTTTCTGTGTAATGTGTGCGTAAATGTGTAAAATAGTGATTAAAATTACACAGAACTTAAAATTGAGTTGACGGCTTTAATTCATTACACATCATGACATCACATCAACAGCCTTTAAAAGTCCACTGCTGGACATAGGCCTCAAAGGAGGTATTTGGCCTACTATACGGATTGGTATAGGGTTTCTGTCAAGTTTCCCTTCTCTTTGCGGTACTGTTGTCCTGCGTAGTTTGTTCCTTTAGTCCGCTCTTACCACACGCCTGTAATGAATAGGGGTGGTGGCACTTCGTATTCTTAATCCGTCACCACACGGATAATTAAATAAATAAAAAATAGAAAACATATTTAAGGTAATTACGAGATAGTATCATTATGGTATTAAAAGATGGCAATGGCTAAGGAACGAATAGCATCCGCAATGCTTGGCTATAGGTAACCTGACTCCTTATTGCGGCAATATACACATTTCTATGTACCTATATATTATGCAATTGATGTTTAAAAATAACACTTTAACACTGTAACATGTTACACAATAAAGTATTTTATAAAAATGTATAAAGGTATGCATTATATAGATTCAATACCTAGTCGATTGTTAATTAATACTAACTACTAGTAGACAAATGCATGTTAATGGCTAGAGCCGTGGACACTGACGCTTGAAGAGACAATTGTTTGTAAATAAAGACAGACAAACTCCTGCATGCATATTATTATGCAAGTGTTAAGTAATAATTAAGCACGCGTTAATACTCGCAGATTGCACAGATTTCAAGGGGTAAGTACATTCGGCAGTGTAACTAAATAAACGCTTTCCAATTACAAATTAAACCCAATAGATAATTTTTAACTCCGACGCAATAACATGTGTTATAATTTTAAGGGAGTTTCGTTTTAAAGGTTATTTGACCGAGAGTATTCTAAGCTATAATTCAATTAAAAATGATCAATAAGACGATGATTTTCAACTCTTTTAATGGAATCAGGATTTTGAGTCAGTGTGTTTTAAATGTCTAAGTGTGTCTATAAATCTCGTTGAGAAATGCAACCTGGACGTCATTCGTTTGACAGGCGGTATTAACAAGGAGTACCTACTTATATGTACATATATGTACAATGTTGTTCTGTTAACAATGGAACACTCGTCATGTCTAGGTATTACGTCTGAACGCTTAGGATTTAATGGACAGCACATAGTTCAAAACGTATAGGTATGCCTGTTTCTCTGCTATAAATTTAAACAGTAACGTATTTAATATGCAAACAAGTCCACATTTGACTTGCTATCAAGAGATTGTGAGTTTGAATTCTATCTAGTACATTATCAGTTAAAATAACGCCTATCACAAATATTTCGGATAGTTGGAAGGGATACATAAAATCTCTGCTCAGCTTCAGTTCTCTCTATATGTGTAACTTTCGCCAGTATTGTGATTGGTCAACAAGTACTAAGCGATAGTTTGCCACCGCTTTTTCGTACACTCTAAAGCAGATGTTCAAAGTAATGAGTCCAAACCACAGTAAAAATAAAGAACCCGTTATTCACTACAACATTTGTTTCTTTCTTAAAAGGACCTCTCTCAGTAGGTAGAAAATGTGCTAATTATTGCTATTTAGACTGTACTCTACAATACCAGATGGTTTATTTCACACACATAAGAATTTTGCACAGAAAAATGATCAAAATTTACCACTATTTCTCATAATCTTTCTCCATTATCATAATATAAACCATTAATTAAATTTTCTCTATGAAGCATGACACTGCTATATTATTCCCTTTTTTCAGAACTTAAATAGATCTTTCTACAATGTTATATTTATTCAGCACTTACCGGTTCATTCAAAGTTGAATTAGACGATACACTGATAGTGAACACCTCCTGACTCTCAGTTGGCGAAAGTTTATTAGGACTCACACACTCGAAAGCACCCATAATTTAAAAAAAAAAACTTCAGTCACGGTTGTAAAACGTTCAAAACGAAAACACTTATAGAGCAAGAAGTATTTAAAATGAAAGCCACATTTAAAAAAATCGAATATAATATCGTTATGTCAAGTGGACTAAGTTAAGATAGTGTGCCGACTGACTGCCAGCTGCGTGTGCGCAACACTCACCACAGCGATCGTGTGTACAATGATATAAGACAAGGTAGAGGTGGTACAAACGTAGGAGTCATTGTCTCGTAAAGGTTAATGGAATCAAATAGTGCAGTCCTAATTCGTAGTATATGTTAATGTAATGTGCTTCTTGTAAAGGATGCTTTTTGATTTAAGTATTATGGTTTCATTTTAAATAGTTTTAGAAAGTGATTATGCTTGTTCTTTTTTTTAATTTACAAAATGAAAGTAATTAAATACAAATAATTAGTTACAAATTACAAAGGTTTCATGTTATTGGAATTTTGTTACTTTTATGAATTATATTTCTCTGATATTCTTGTTAGGGGAAACCAGTTTACCGATTCTCAGATAAATATAATGACCCACTAGACCTTGAATTTTATATTTTTAAAACCGTTACTATTAAATGTATATTTATACTCGAATAACAAGGAAGTTTTAAAAATAATGTTTGAATTTTTATTACCTATAGCTCGGAGGATGTATCTTACTCCCGAAAAAATGCTATTCCAATTATGATATAATGTCATACTCCTCACGCCAGGTACATATTTGTATCAGATCTTTGTTAATGTTATTGATAGCTTCAGATAGTATTGCCGGAGAAGCTTTGGTGTAAATTTTGAGATCATCTGCATAAAGGTGGTAGGAAGAAAGTAAGCGATCAGTGATGGAGTTGATAAACGCTGCGAAAAGTAATGGGGATAGCACGCCGCCCTGAGGTACGCCCGCAGATGTTGTGCACCAAGAGGAATAATTATGTTCAATACAAGCACAATGCTGACTACCGTACAGGTAGCTATGAAACTAACCAATTACTGATAGAGATATGTTAAGAGAGCGCAATATTCCGAGCAAGATATCAAAGTCAACGGTATTGAAAGCGTTACTGAAATCAAGCAAGGTAAGGACCGTTAACTTTCCTTCTTCTATGTTGGACCTGATATCCTCCCTAATATGAATGAGAGCTGTTGTGATACTATGGCCGGAAGAAAAGCCTGATTAGAGGATTTAGGAAACAATTATTTCAAAAATGGAAAGTTACATTGTCAACGAGTAACATAGTAACATAGGCTACTTTTTACTGCGATAACCGAAATACCCACTGCAGAGCCGCAGGCAAAAGCTAGTTATACATAAATGTTTTATTACTAGTAAAACAGATTATCTAAAGTCTGCGTCTAATGCGTATATAAAGTTATGTGTCTGTTCGTTAGCCAATCCAAGGCGCACGGTTGGCCATTCCTAGACTGTAGTTTTTATCCAGGCTGTCAAACATTTCAAATTAAATGAAGACGGGTTGCAGGCAGTTCTGCCAACTGTTTAAAAACTTTCCCCCTAAAACAATTTAAAAAAAAATAATTAAAAATTTCCCAACGACGAATCAAGTATTTATTCATTACAATATGATATACACAGCGCCATCTATTAAAACTGGAATCATTGAATCAGAATTTTTCTTGGATTAAAATCTTCTAAATTGTGGTTTTTAATATTGATTAGTTAGTAATAAGTATGGACACGTAAAATGAATCTATCAATATCTTGCGTTGGTATCGTAACTTTAACAAACAACAATCGATCAAACAAATCCGTGAATGAAAACAAAATTAATTAGATTCATAAACCAAGGTAACAACTGAGGTTGACCCTTCAATATTACAATCCTGTCAACTATACAGGTACATATGTAGTGGAATAAAAATGTTATGTAATGTTTAATATTTTATCCCCACTAAGATTAGAACGCAACTCTAACCAGAAGTAGTTTGATTCCTCTAACAGGCTGACATTACAAATGTATATAAACAATAGAAAGATAAAACACATATCGAACCAGATAAGATATTATTAAGGAATGAAAAACTGAAAGACTGGTTAGTAATCATTTATTCCACAGCGTTGATCTGTTTGTGATTCATCAAATAATCATCATTTGATGTTTACTTAACAGAATAACCTTGTTTTGTATTAAGTATCTGTTTATTAATTAACATTCATCTTACGAGAGATTTTACTAATATCATAAATGTGAAGGTTTATATGGATGAATGAAAGGGATAGATGAACAATTCTTGGCCAGATCTAGTTAATAGAATTGAATACATTCTAGTCTGTAACATAGGTTAATATTTATCCAGGAACAATAAAGTGGAAACTACATAGATTGATAAATTCGAAATTACGCAAAAGGCTCAGCTAGTAGCTTCTAAACAAATAGTTACTTACTCTTATTGGCATAGACAGTGTCTGTCAGTCCCAAACTAATTATGTTAATGGATTTTTAAATTCCACCAGCTTCAACTATGGTATTAACAATAAGTGTGTGAATCAATGAATACTTACTAAATATTGCACTAATTACTAAATAAACTAAGATAATTTAGTAACGATCCTCAACACAAGGGTTTTATCGCCTAAGTAAAAGGTTTTATTCCAGAGCAAATATTTTAAATATGACAATTGGCATAAGACTATGTACCTACCTAAATGTATTTATCTGTGGTCTAGAATGTTTAACACAGCAACAACAGCGTAACACTGTCAGAGTTAGTTTCACATTCACAATAATAGTAGGGATTGCATTTTACCACATCTAGCTACAATGGATCTATGTAAGGCAGTACTTGTGACTCATTCACGTAAGCTGTGAATATTAAACACGGTGGTCTCTCTATCTGTTTGTAGGTCACTATGTACATCATGTACCGTAGTTCCGGGTGTGATATCGTGACACCACTTACGTAATTATTATCGCGTCAGTTACAAGCTGTGTACGTTAATTGGAACACAATTGAGGTATGTTAGAGGAGTTCAACTATCTATCAGTGACCCGTTTGAGTTGAAGAACATTTTAATTGTTTCATAGACTTGATGGTTTGTTTGCGTCTGTACTCGTTTCCCCTCTGAATATCGAATTTTCATTAGTAATGGTTGTGGGATCCGGTTTCCGCGTTTAGACTCAAGAATGGTCCTTTATGCGTCGAGGGAAGGTTGGCTATGTGAGCTAACCAAGCTCCTTCCAGAAGCGCAGAAGCCTACTGGGGCGTTCACGGGCTTCTAAGAGCGATTTTGTATCAGGTATGATACTTGACCGTTGTGTGGCCACTCCATCGCATTCCAGGATTACGTGGGCGGGTTTTTTCTGCTTACAGATATCCTCTGCAAAGAGGACTGTTCAGTGCTAGGTGTCCTGTTATAGTTCCTACGACTATTCAAATGTCTACTCTGTCTGAATATTGAATCAGAGTATTTAAAATTCTTCCAGAAAACAATATTTGAATTTCAGTTTATCATTTTTAAATGATATCATTAAGCTAAAGAGTTTGCTTAAATACTCTCTAATCATTAGAATATTATTTACTATGCACTTAGATATATCTATTGTTTTACGTACTTACTTTTCGAATTGAATAAATTTTTTAATCATAAATAATTGTAACTTATTTACATAATCGTTTGTTGTTTGATTTTTTCAAAGATCCTAATAGACAATCGAACTTAACAACTTCGGTTACAAGCCTCGGCCTTTCGGCAAATAGCCAATTGAGTTAAAGAAACCTGTCCCTCTCAAGCAATTGCTAACATTCCTCGCATTATACTACGCTGAGTGTTGTGGGTTCGATTCCCACATCGGGTGTCGATCTGAGTCGTGGTGTGTTGTGTTCGTTTCATGTATGTTTGTTAGGTCCCCACGACGCAGGATATACTCGTATTCCTAGTGCGCGCGTTGTCTTTAAAAAATAAAAGTTAGAAATGAGAAATATTTATTCGAGCGATGCCGCTTGCGGAAGCTAATTTTCTTATATCATCCTAATAGTGTCCGATTGATGGCTGTAAGATTGCCCCATAATAACGTAAAGGTGACCATCACTTTAGTTTTTGTGATATAAAGAGAAAACGAACACCTGATGATAGATGTATCCTGTACTGCATATAAGTAATATTTCGGATATTGGACACACAACGCCATCTAGTTTCAAACAAAGCAGGGCTTGTACTATGAAAGCTAGATTGACTGATAGAATACTTTTATGTTTTACTTTTGTAATTACTGCTATTTATTTACTGCCTCGGTGGCGCAGTGGTAGTTTATGCGACTGCTGTGCTGCGGTCTCGGGTTCGATTCCCGGGTCGGACCAAATGTTTGTATTATCTGCAAATATTTGTTTCGGAGCCCAAACGCCGAAACAAATATTGTTTTATGTGTATAATATGTATGTATTTATAAAAAAAAGTATTTAAGTATTCTATTAGTCAATCTAGCTTTCATAGTACAAGCTCTGCTTAGTTTGAAACTAGATGGCGTTGTGTTAGATGTCCAAAATATTATTATTATTATTATAAATAACACCCAAAATGCGAAACAAATATTTGCAGGTCATACAAATATTTGGTCCGTTCCGGCTATCGCCGTTCTTGGTCGCACATTTAAGAGCAACATGCACGTTGGAAAAATATGAACGAAGCCTCTTGCTTTTGTTTTAAGACGTCCCTTCGGGGTTATAGACGTGAACGTAATATATATGTGTATAAATTATCAAAAATATCCATGGTGAACAAAAAGTCTTCTCCTAAGTGAATTCTGACTCATCAGTTTAAAAAATATTTACATTCATAAATCTTCGTGCGCTGCGGACACTAGGCGCCACCACACCGCTCAATTCGTAGAATCATGACGGATGATCCTGCAGCATAATCGCTTAATCGGTAGAGAAGAGGTACGTCGTGTCGCGCGTAACTCTGATCACGTCACTATTCTACTGTGACCACAAACTCAGATACTCCTAAGTGCTACTACTAAAGTACGCT